TTAGCCACTATGCTACCAGAGCTCCTGTGTTCACTAGATACATATATATATAAATGTATCCTAATAAAACACAGCTACTACCCACTGGGCACTGTTTTCCAATCATTACTATAAATGTCACTGTAGTGAAAATTTGTACAAGAAATTTAATAATCTACATAAATACTAGTCATCCATTTACATTAAATTCTTAGAATTAGAAATGCAGGGTCAAGGGTTTGTATTTTTAAAAGGCATATCACCTTCAAGAAAAGTTGTACGGATTTCCTTTCCACCAGCTGTGCATGAGAATTCCTGCCCTTTAGTTTTCACCAACACTAAGATTTTTAGAAAATCTTTTCCTGTTTGATAAGGGAACAGTGGGGTCTCATTAGTTCACAATACATGTTTGATTATTACTGAGACTGAACTTTTTAATACATGCTTATCGGCTATTAATATTTCTTTGGTCAGTCATCCATTTGTATCATTTGCTCATGGTTTGATTGAGCTGTTTGGGCTTTTCTTATGGATTTAAAAGAGTACTTTAAATATTAAGAGTATTTGTTTATGAGCTAGATATACATATACATATATATATATACATATACATATATATAATTTTTGTCCTGTTTATCGTTTGCCTTTCTACTTGATGATTCCATTTGGTTTTTAAGATACAGATATTTTTATTTAGGCAATTAAATAAGTCTTTGTCTTGTGCTGTCTTTATTGTCATGCTTTAAAAATCCAGCTCCCAAAGATCATGCAAATAATTACAGTTCCTTCTAGTATTTTTGTGAATTTATTTTTTACATTGACATGATTTTTACACAGAATTTTGAGAGCTGTGAAATGTGACAAGGAAATGTGACTTTTTCTTCAAGATTTTAACTCATAGCTGCATGGTTCATTTCATTTCTAGACATTTGCAATGTCTAGGAGTCCAAATCAATGTTAAGTGACAGTATACCAATAATACTTTATTGTAAATTGATTCTTTCTTCAAAAAAAGAGAAAAACCAAACTCAACTGCCATCAAGTTGTTTCCAACTCATAGCGACCCCCACTGGGTTTCTATGGCTGTAAATCTTTACGGAAGTAGATCACCCCATCTTCCTTCTGTGGAGCAGCTGATGAGTTTGAACTGCTGATCTGGTTAGCAGTCAAGTGCCATACCACTAAGCCACTAGAGCTCCTTACAGTAGTACATACTATTATTCCCATTTTACAGAGGAGGAAACAGAGGTACAGAGAGTTCATCTTAGTAAAATAATTATGGATGCAGAAAAATTCTACAAAGAATCTTGTTTGTAATAACAATACATTCCCAACAACAGGACATTTGTTAAATAAATTATACAACATCCATACAGTGGATTATTTTTCTACATCCAGAATTACATTGTAGAAGAATATTTAATGAAGATGAAAAATATTCATGAGATATCATTAATTTTCAGTTAAATAATATTATGATACTAAATCTGCACTTCTAACAATTTTGTATGTAATATAGGAAAAAGACTGGAAAAAGTGGTAATTTGGTTGGCTATTTCTTGCTGTGAGATTATGCTCCATTTTAATTTTCGATTTTGTGCTTTTCTGCAGTTTTCCAACTTTCTATCATGGGCATGTGTAGGTTTTTGTAATCAAAATATAAATACTAATATATCATGAAACATGCTTATTATTTCTAAGAAATTAAAATTTTATTCCCAAACATTTTATTTTCTTTTATCTGAGGTGAGTGCTGAACTTCATCAAATGCTTTTTTAGCCATTTACTGAGAGGTTGTGTGGTTTTTCCACTTGACCTATTGATCTCAACCTGAGGTACTTATATGAATAGATTTCCTAAAAATAAACCACCTTTGCCATCCTAGAAGTATCTCTAATTTACTTGATTATCTCAGATTAATTTCATCCTGAGAAGGCTTCTGGTTTCCTCCTCGTAGAAAGAAGGGGGAAAAGCTAGGACTTTCAAATATTTATTTTACCCTTTGACAAAGCCAGTTTATTCTTTTATAAAATAGCTTTTTACATGTGCATAATATTGTTTGAACCTGCGACAAATGCAGACTGATATATTTGTCTCATTTTACAGAAGAATGAGAGGGCCAGAAAAATGAAATAATGCCATGGTCTGATAGTGGCAGAGCTAGGAAAAGAACCTAAGCTTTGATGTAGCATCTCTCTCACCCTCTTTGCCTCAGGGAAGCAAACTGCACCCAGCTGCCTTTTCCATTGATGTGGTCGGCCAATGCATTAGTGCCAACTCCCTTAACTGTCTAGAGCTGGAAAGACTTCCTGCTTCAGACACTTACACACCAATCATCATAGTCTGAGCCTAGAATCGATTGGTTCTGATAAGGTTTGGGTTGTTCACAAAGAGAAGGAAGTCTGATTACCATGCAGAGATCACTGGGTAAGAACCTCGTAAGCCTTGGGGTCTATGTGGCTTTCCCCAGCCTCTACAGTGGCAGAGACACTCAGAAAACTCCTAACCCTCAGATTGAGGGCCTGTTTAACCAAGAACCTATTTATGTGTTACAGACACTCAAATCTGCCCTTAAAGAGAGTTGTCCTCTCCCACAATGACCGTTTAATTTCTTCACATACCTTGCTATTTACCCTCAATATACACACTTTTTAACTTCAGCTTTCTTGGGCTTTTTCATGGTTCCAGAAGCTACAAGAGTGGCCTTCCCTAATATGTTTCTTCTCGCTAAATCCACCTTTCCATATCCGCAGACATGAGGTCTACGTGGGCTGACTAGCTATACTGGCTGCCCTGGACATCTAGTTTACTCCTGGGGTCCCAGGGTAATTGTTAATAGTGCCCCCTTTCACTCTCACATACCACAATGGCCATGAAGAATCAATGAGTTGGAGAGAAGAGATCTAGGTCCAAGATTTAAGATCAAAGTCCTCTCTTCCCTATCCACTCCATCAGCAAATCCTATTTGCTCTACTTTCAAAGTATATTTGGAATTTGATCATTTTCCTCTCCATGACCACTACTGAGATTCTAAATACCATAACCTCTTACCTAGTATATCTTCGCATATCCCTCTCCCACCCCAGCCCAAAGTCTATTTTTGAACATGGAAGCCAGAGCCATCCTTTTACAGTATAAGTTCAAAAATGTCTCCTTTCTACTGAGAACCCTATAATGGCTCCACATTGGTATCAGTCCTTATATGCCCTTTGCAATCTGCTCCCCACAACCCATGATTCCTGCTCTCTCCTCTCTGACCTCATCTCTTCGATTTTCTCATTCACTAGCTCTGCTCTACCCACACTGACCTCCTTGTTGTTCCTCACACTCTCCAGCCATGCTCCACCTTTGGGCCTTTGCACTGGCTATTCCCTCTGCCTGGAATGCTCTTTCCCTAAATATCATCTGTGTGGTTATTATCCTCTCCTTCTTAGTCTTTGCTCAAATGTCACCTTCTCCATGAGATCTACTCCGAACACCCTACTTAAAATTATAACACTTTACCCAAACTCTTGATCCCTCTTATCATTCTATTTTTCCTTCATAAAATTAATCTTTTTCTAGCAAATTTTATTGCTTCTTTATGTTGACTTTCTGTCTTTCCCCCTATAGTCTAAGTTCCCCAAGGACACAGATTTTTATGTCTTATTCTTTGGTTTATTTCAAGTACCTAGAACAGTGTCTGATACATAATAGATTTTCAATAAATATTCCATGAATAAACAAATAAATGAAAGTTCTAAATCAATTGAAACAAACTCATGTTCTCTGAACTTTTGTTCTCAACATCACATGCTCATGACCATGTCGGGAACCTTGATTTTGAGCCACTTCTAGGAAACACCACAGTGCTTATCTTGGACCTTCCTAGAGGGTCACATTGCCATCTTTGCGACCCAGTTTATGCATCTAAAAAATGGTGAGAAGGAAAAAGCAATCTTCCAATTGGGACTATGTCTACTCCCAGTAAGGAGGCCCATGTGGGTTTACCCACGATTTAAGTGGCTCTCATGTCAGTAAGTGCCCTCCTCCATGCTAGAAAAGGAAAGCCATCATCCTGGGGACAAAAACTCTGGATGGTACCTGTGGCTTCATGTCCTCTTCATCCTTGTAGTAGTAGAGCTGCTGTGCCCTCAACACAAAATACCGTTGCTGCCAGTTTTTCACGATGGACCTCTGCTTCTTCAGCCAGCCCATCTTGATAGGCCTTTCCAGTGGGTTGGGGGTGGATGATGGGTGAAAGGCTGCCATCTGCTCGCCAGTCATCACACTCTGGGACCGAACTATAGAGAGGAACAGACAGGCAGACAGACAGACATGAAGCAATGTGCAAAGTATGGGAGGAGAGGCAAGAAACAAACCCTCGAGGGGGCTGAGGAGCTAGGTGGGGCCACAGAGAGGTCCACCTCAAGGGTCTGTATCTGTATCAGAGAAAATCTCCCATGGCCTGGAGAGGCAGCCGAGAGAACTGCTCTTGAGAAGGGTTGGATTGAAACAGAAAAAGAGGAGAAAGCCGGTGGCCCAGTGCACAAGCGGTCCAGCAGCTGATGTCTGTCCACCCTCTCATTCTGCAAAGTGAAAGAGTGGCTGCAGCCTTCTAAAGAGGAAGTGGCCGCAGCATCTGACAAAAAGGTGCTTCCTTTTTCCTGCGTGGGAGTTGGTATGTGACTAGAGAGAGGAGAAAATAATACCTTGTCCTGAGGGTTAAGGGTGAGTCCCACGCAGCTGCAGAGGCAGCGTTAGTTGCCTGGGCATTCTTCCATCGAGGCTGATTTGAGGAGGTTGTGTTTGCACTCACCTCACTGTAAAATGTAGTCCTTCCCAGAGAGATCCCAGACAACCCCGGGGCCCTGGCTATGCAACTACAACTAGCATACGGAAGTTGTCACCTCCTGTGAAGTGTCCCCTGTGTCCTGCGAGTGTTTAGAGCATTTTATATTGCACCTCACCACAGCTGCCTTCCTATTACATTTGCAGTTAGTTTGTCACATCCTTGTGAGTGACAGCACCCAAGGAATTTAGAGCAAAAATCGTCTGCCAACAAAACACAGAAACAGAATTTGAATTCAAAGCCGTTGGTCCACTGCCTCGTTCATGGACTTTCATTTTCAGACAAGAGTCCTGCCTGTCACTGGATGAGGTCTAGGTCTGTACCTATACAGTTTGTGTCCATGATTGCTCCCACATCAGGCAACTCTCTCCTTTACCTCCGTACCTATCACCCTGTCAGTTTCAGCTTAATCCTTTCTTCTGAGCTTCACCTTCCTTTCTTCCCAAAAAAACTCTGACAACCACATTGGAGTTCCATGCCCCCTTAACTTCGTGCTGCCACCCCACACTTGTTAATTCCTTCAACCAACTACCCGTTGCCTTGAGTTGATCCCAACTCATGGAGATCCCATGAGTGTCAGAGTCAGGTTTTCAATGGCTGGTTTTTCAGAAGTCAATCATCAGGCCTTTCTTCTGAGATGCCTCTGAGTGGACTTGAACCTTCAACCTGTCAGTTAGCAGCAGAGTGCTTTAACCATTTGTACCACCTACAGGTGATTTTAGGAGCTTTGGTGGTGTAATGGATAAGGGACTTGACTGCTAACTGGAAGATCAGCAGTTCAAACCCACCCGCTGCTCCGCAGAGGGAAGACAGAGCAATCTACTTCCATAAAGATTTACAGCCTCAGAAACCCAACAGAGGTCACTATGAGTCAGAAACTACTCCATGGCAGTGAGTTTGGTTTTGGTTTGAAGGGTGATTTTGCTAATTCCTAGCCCTGGATGATACTCTGTGTCTGTTCTCCTGCTAAATATTGCTGGAAGTTCTCCATTCTAAAATCCCTTGATTCAATTCTTATCATCCCTGAACATTCACATTGACCTCTCTCACCTCATTTTGTCTCATTTAGTAGACCTGATTCTTCCATTCTTGACTCCCTAACCATGGGTAAATTATGCAACTTCTCTGAGTTTTGGTTTCTTCGCTTGTAAAACTGGTATTATAATTTAAAAAGCCAAACTACTTGCTGTCAAGTAGATTTCAACTCATGGTAACCCCATGTGTCAGAGTACAACTGTGTTCCACAGAGTTTCAATAACTGTAATCTTGGGAGCTCTGGTAGCATAGTGGCTAAGGCACTTGACTGCTAACCAGAAGGCTGGTGGTTGAAATCCACCAGCCACTCCTCGGAAGGAAGATGGGGCAATCTACTTCCGTAGTGATACTGCCTCGGAAACCCAAGGAGGGGTTGCTATGAGTCGGGTCCGACTTGACGGCACATAACAACAACAACAACAATCTTTCAGAAGTAGATCACCAGGGCTTTCTTCCAAGGCACCTTTGGTGAATTTGAACTGTCCTTCAGTTAGTAGTCAATCCCTGAACCTTTTCAGCAACTCAGGGACTGAGGATCATAATAGTCCCTGTTACATGCCTAAGGCATTTGACTGCTAACCAGAAGGCTAGCGGTTCAAGCTCACCAGCCACCCCTTGGAAGGAAGATCAGGCAATTTACTTCCATAGAGATACCACCTTAGAAACCCAAGGAGGGGTCGCTATGAGTTGAATCGACTCGGTGGTGGTGAGTTTGGTTTGGTTTTGGTTATATGGAATTGTTATGGGCATTAAACAAGTTAACATATATAGTTATCCCTGATGATGCAACAGAAGAGCCCTGGTGGTGCAGTGATTGACCACTCACCTGTTACCTGAAAGGTCAGTGGTTCATAGCCACCAGCCATTCCACAGGGAAAAGATGGGTCAGTATAATTCCATGTAGATTTATAGCCTCGGAAACCCTATGGTGGCAGTTCTCGTCTATCTTATAGGGTTGCTATGAGTGTCCTATATGGTCAACGGCAATGGGATAGTGCAATGGTTAAATGCGTGGCTGCTGTCTGAAAGATCAGTGATTATAAACCACAGAGTGCCTCTGTGGGAAAAAGACCTGGCAATTCACTCCCATGGAAACTACAGCCTAGAAAACCTTATGGGAACAGTTCTATTCTGTCACATGCGGTCACTAGGAGTCAGAATTGACTTGATGGCACCCAACAGCAACAATAATAACAGCATTTATAAAGCACTTAGCACAGTGCCTTGTCAAAGGTAAGCAACTACTACTCTGGATGTTTTTATCAACAGTTGACTTGATTTTCTACTGCAAAGATGGAAATCGTCTTTGGGAGCTTCTTCAGCTTCCTTCTTCACTTCAAAATGTCATTCCAACATCAGGCTTGCTCTCTTCCTTCATTCCTATCTTTATTCCATTTAATTGCCCACTTCTTCCCATTGCTTTGATTCCTTTATTTCTTTTTCCTTATTGGCCTGTAGTTCTCAACCTTTATTTGTGTTCATGTTATACTTTCAAATACCAGAATTTTGTATAGCATTACAGTCTTTCTTCCACTGACTCTAATTGTATCCAGAATTATCACTCTATATTTGGTACTTTGGCCCTATATTGCTGTCCATAAAGTGTTATACCTTAACTGGGCTCCCTTGACCCTTACTTCCTAACTAACATCCTAGGTATCAGCTTGCAATCACTCCTCACCTCCCACCACTAATTTGAACAAATTGTATTATGTTGTACACTAAGTTGCAAGATAAACTCAATTCAACCTCTCATTTGAGAGACAGCATCATAAGAGTGCATACACTCAATTGTAGCAAAAAGAAATTTTACATCTTGATAATGACTTGTCAGCATGCCTACAGAGTTGTCTTTATATCAGTGTATCCAAGCATGCCAATTAAAACCTCTATCTTAGCTCTTACTCCTGAGTTACTCATTATCTTTAAAGTCTTTCATCTGCAACTCAAAGAACAGCCACTCTGAGACTGATAACCTACTCTGTTGTTGTTGTTGTGTGCCACTGACTCACTTCTGACTCAGAGCAGAACATCCGCATCGGGTTTCTAGGCTGTAATCTTTTTGGGAGCAGATTGGCAGGTCCTTTCTTCTGGGGAGCCACTGGTGAGTTCGAACCACCAAACTTTTGATTGATAGCCAAGTGCTTTAATCATTGCACCACTGAGGCTTCTTATCCCCTACTCTTAGGCTATCTAAATGATCCAAAGGAATGATAGGAGAGTTTTGTGGCAGGAATGCAATGGAGAGGAAGGAATTTGAAGGACAGGTCTGTATCTCTCTAGGCTGAAGACTGTACCTTGCAAAGGCTGATATCTGTCCTATAATGAGGAACGATTGTGGGCAGAAATAGAAAAATTGGTTTACACACAAAATTTCTAGTAAAAATGTAAGAGTAAGCCATCCTGGCTGATGTAGATACCTTCTCCTCTACTTCATTAGAGAAGCCCAGACCAGTGTGACTGCAGGGACCAGCTACCAAAAGCAACATCAGACCTGGGGAGAGAAGCCCTTCCTAAGAGCAGCAGTCATGAGAAGGCTTCATGTGCCTTCTGGGGTGATGCTGTCCCTGGAGACTCACAGAAACTGTTTGAATTACTATGTGGATATGAGAAACTGAAGGTCTCCAATAATGTTGAAGAAGTGTAGGGAAGGGGGAACAGGAGCCAAGATGCCCCTACAGAGAATTAGCTCGGCAAAGAAGAACTTAGTTGTTAGGATGTTTTGTGCTTAGTTCTAGGAAACGTTTGATGGTTTGCTGTGGCAAAAACAACAAAACAAAACAAGAACAAGAACCCTCTATGCATAATGGCTTTATACAAGGATATTATGTTCTCCAGTCTCAGCGAGAGGGGCTTTAATGTCCTTGTGTTTGCCTATACATGATCAAAGACTTGATTGACCATCTTTTGTATTTTAGAAATACCAGTTACATATACACACAACTGGTTTCCTGAGTGCCTGTTACCATCCTCACATATTTGATCTGACTATGCAACTGGGCCATGCAACAAGTGTGAGGGTGCAGATGGCTCAGTGCAAACCTCCCCATTACTGGAAGTCCTGCCCAGGCAATAGGGAGATTGCATCTGGGGGCTCAGGTGAATCAGAGACTGAGCTGGGGAGCTTTCAATCTCATTTTCAGAGTGATCACCTGACCAGATCCCACAAATGTGTGCTCACCTACCAGCCCTATCATGAGATTATTCAAATATCAGAGAAAAAAACATAGCGCCTTGAGTTTAACTTGGTTTTGACTAACCTTCCTTATTAGCTCCTTTGAACAATCTCTTTTCTTTGAGGGTGTGTCTTGTTCCTGGATAACATAAACAAAGAAAGCTGTTACTATGAATAGACTTATTTCTCATAATGAAAATAATAGTGCAGGCTTTGCTGTGAGCCAATCATTGTATACTGAG